AAATTTCCTTGTTCCTTCTCTCTTCTCCAGAGATACACGCCCCAAAAGATGTTCCAGTTGGCTGACGACTTCTTCGCCTCCCTGGGCCTGAGTCGCGTTCCTGACTCGTTTTGGAAACATTCTGTTCTGGAGAGGCCAAAGAGCCGAGATATGGTCTGCCATCCGTCTGCTTGGGATTTCTGTGATGGAGAAAATTTCAGGTGTGGAGGAATGGTATTACTTTCATATGTCTGTATGTGTCATTGAAGTTGATTGTTTTAATTTGATGTGCCATTTGATGTGAATATTTCTGGTATACATACATTGCATACATAATATATATACATATGCAAAACACACACAATACAGTACAAGCTATACATAACATGCATAAAAAATACAAATAAATGAACACAGCATTAACATTCTATAATCAATATTTCTGCAAATACAGGGTCAAGCAGTGCACCCAAGTGACCTTTTCTGACTTGATCACTGCCCACCATGAGATGGGTCACATCCAGTACTTTATGCAGTACAAAGATCAACCCCATGTCTTTCACCGCAGTGCAAACCCAGGTAAGTGGAAAGAGAATAGTATGAAATTCAAACTAGACTGGATCAAATTTAGATTAAACAAGATTGTACTAGGGATATATATATATATATATATATATGTATATATATATATATATATATATATATATATATATATATATATATATATATGTATATGTATATGTATATGTATATGTATATGTATCTGTATCTGTATCTGTATCTGTATCTGTATCTGTATCTGTATCTGTATCTGTATCTGTATCTGTATCTGTATCTGTATCTGTATATATATATATGTATATATATATATATATATATATATATATATATATATATATATATATATATATATATATATCCAGCACAAAAATTCTTTGATTTTTAGTCTGTAAAGAACGTTTTGGCACTGTCAGAAGGCCACTTGGCTGGGATGCTGGATATGAAAATTAGCTAAACACAGCTGAAATAAAATGTCCCCCAAAAATAAAGTTATGGATGCTGCACAAATATTGAAACAAAAAGAGAACATGCATTAGCTGAGCAATGAAAAGATACTAGTGAGCCAGCTGGTAGGTGATGAGCCTGGGCTGGTTTTAAGATCCCAGTCCACTATTGATGAAATCTACTAAACAATTAAATCAATGGACGTTGCTTATAAACAGTGTAGAAAAAAAGTTTTTGGGTAGACCATTCTCTCTAAGTTTCCTTATTTATTATAAATTTGTTGTTTGATTAGTATATGCAGTGCTTGGAAATCATTTAGGGTGTGGACTCTTCAAGCAGCATAACAAAACAGCAATGAATAAGGATTTGGTGGACAGATGTATTTTTTTTTATTTAAATTTTTTTTTTTCTGTTTTGCGAGGTAGAGCCTCGCCCGGGCTTTGCCCATGAGGGAGCCCGGTCCCTCTTTATGTATTTATTGCAGTAAAAGCTTTTTTATACACCTTGCCCACCAAGCATCATAGTTAAACTTATCCTACCTGCAACAGGCTTAAAATTTATCCATGAACCTGCAGTTAGGCAAATCAACTGACACACATGTCTAATTTATATTATGTTGTTGACCATTTTATCTATCTTTCTGGCAACAGATTATAGATACATCACTATTTACCCTTTTGACCATATGGCTGATATGGTGCTATAACACCGCCACTGCATAACTCATCATCCAACAAGGAATAATGAATACAACATAGATAGCATTAGTGTTGGAGAACTTGAATTGCTGCCAGGGAAAATTTATAAAAAATGAGCAAAATGCTGTGCTCAGTTGTTATATTTTTGTGAAATGTCTCTACACATAGATGGCTCTGCTAGTGCTTAGCCACATAAGAGTCAATTAGCAGACCTTGTGACCTTACCTGATTTGAATTGGCGGGAAAAATGTATTTTTTATTATAAACATTATAATTACTATAATGTTACAAACATCAGTAACAGCAAGATAAGATAACGTAAAACATTTTCATAAATCAAGGAAAAGGGTAAACGAGCAAGACAGGTAGTACTCGTAATTGGCTCATTGGTGACTTAGTACAAGTGTATCTATGTGTAAAAACAATTAAACAATTAAACTCACAGTGGGCAAGGTATGTATGTACATGTCATGCTCGTCGGCATTGAGTTAATATGACAAACATTTTCCAGCTTTCCACGAAGCTGTTGGAGACCTCATTGCCCTCAGTGTGTCCACCCCAAAGCACATGTCAAAGCTTGGCCTCTTTAAGAAGAGCTCACAAAAGAGACAGAAAGAAGTCGAGTTGAACTTCCTAATGAAGATGGCACTGGACAAGGTTGCCTTTCTGCCATTTGCATACCTCTTGGACTTGTGGCGCTGGAGGGTTCTTGACGGCACTTATTCTCAGAGGGATTGGAACTGCGCTTGGTGGGATCTCAGGTGGGAGAGTTCAGATGCAGTGTTGTGCTTTTTTTTATTGTTATAAAAAAAAAAATT